TCATTAATGCATCTTGTATGTAATTGTGGCCCCAGAATTGATCCTGGTGGCATTCCACTAATTAAAGGTCGCCATCCTGAAAAATGCCTTCACTATTCCAACTTTCTGTCTTTTATTAGTCAGCCAATCATTTATCCATGTTAATATACTACCACCCAACATCATGGGATCTTAACTTACTGAAGTAGCCTTATGTGCAGTATTTTGTTGAACGCTTTTTGGAAATCCAAATATATTACTCCTACTAGTTCACCTTTCTCTATCCCATTTGTTACCTCTTCAGAGAATTGTAATAAATTTGTCAGACATGATTTTCCCTTCATTAAGTCATGCTGACTCTGTGGGATTATATCATTCATTTCTAAATACTACATTATTATATCCTTTATAATCCTAACATTTTCCCAGTGGCAGTTGTAAAGCTAACTAGCCTATAGTTACAGAGATAGTAGGAACTGCCGATGCTGGAGAATCTGAGATAACAAGGTGTGAGCTGGATGATCACAGCAGGCCAAGTAGCATCAGAGGAGCAGGAAAACTGATGTTTCGGGTCTGGACCCTTCTTCAGAAATTTCTGAAGAAGGGCCCAGACCCGAAACATCTGCTTTCCTGCTCCTCTGATGCTGCTTGGCCTGCTGTGTTCATCCAGCTCTACACGTTGTTATAGCCTATAGTTACCTGATTTTTGAAGCATTTCCTTTTTGAATAAGTTTGTTACATTGGCAGTTTTCCATTCATCTAGATTTTTCCAGATTCTAAGCATTCTTGGAGGATTACTATCACTTTAGTGACTTCCATTAAAATCTTAGGATGCAGCCCATCTGGTCCAGAAGACACGTTGGCCTTTAGTCCCATTCGTTGCCCTAGTACTTTTCACAAGTGATCGTTATTGTGTTTAATTCCTCTAATCCCCTTGAGCCCTTTGATTTATTGGTATTTTTGGTATGCCATAACTGTCCTCTATCATGCAGACTGATGCAAATTATTTATTCAACTCCTCCATCATTTCCTGGTTCCCCTTCACTATTTCCCCAGCCTCTTTTTCTAAGGTGTTTATGTTCACTTTGGCCTCTATCTTCCTTATTATATAGGACATGGGCACATGAGAGCATCATCATAGAGTCCCCACAGTGTGGAAGCAGGCCATTCAGCCCATCAAGTCCACACCGACCATCTAACAAGAATCCTATCCAGACCTACCCCATCCCTGTAATCCTGTATTTCCCATGGCTAACCCACCTAGCCTGTGCATCTCTGGACACTATAGGCAATTTAGTATGGTCAATCCACCTAACCTGCACATCTTTGAATTGTGGGAAGAAAGCAGAGCATCCAGAGGAAACCCATGCAGACATGAGGAGAATGTGCAAACTCCACACACAGACAATTTCCCAAGGGTGCAATTGAACCCTGGTCCCTGGTGCTGAGGCATCAGTGCTAACCACTGAGTCACTGGGCTGCATCACCATCTACAAGTTCCATTCAAAGCATTGTACTATCCCATCTTAGAACTATACTGGCCATTCTTCATTGTTTCTGGTTCAAAATCCTGAAACTTCCCTTCTAACAGCATTGTGGGAGTTCCCACACTGGGTGGACTGCATGAACTTAGCCCACCATCACTTTCGATAGAACAATTACAAATGACCAACAAATGCTGCATTTGCCAGTGATGGTCACATCCCATGAAAGAATTTTTAAAAAGCTATATCTCATTCAGCACCATATACACCAGTTTTTATAAATGTTACATACCTAATGCGTTAATCAAGTATAAAATGCAATAAAACCAAATTTTTAAAAATAGAAATGTTAAATCATGAAAATTTTCTTTAAATTATTATAAACACAATTTTAATTGACTTCTTCCTTATTTAAAAAAATGTGATGGTCAACTATCTTGTTCCAATTTTTTGTGTTCCATTTGCTGTTTACATTAGGTACTCCAGTTGTTTGATGTCAGCCTTTAGCTGTAACTGTCAGGAATGAATACAGTTTGATTGGTAAGAGTGAACAGATTGCAAACATATTAAAACATATGGAACTGTTTATTTTTCAGAGAGGCATAATTCAAAATAGATTAAATTTTTAAACCAATCTGAGTGATTGTTAATTGTAATAAATGAGTCTTGACAAGTTCTCCACAACTTCTTCCGAAGACAGAATATGCTTCATCGGGAACCTGAAGAGTGTGGGGCACCATCCTAGCTGAAGGTCCAACCATATACCTTTCTGGTATTACTGGAAATCGCCAGTCATTTATTGCAGGTTTTTTTAAGGAGGTTAACAAGCTGGATAGATAAAGGGGGACTAGATTTACCCTCATAATACTGCCCTTTCTTGAGAACTTCACAGATTTTCTCTCTGACCCAGTTTGCCCCTTACCAACCCTCTCTTGACAGCTGCACCATATCTCAGTGTAGCTCACAACGCTCCCCACCTGCGCCCCTTTTTCTCACTTTTTTCTGACAACTTTCCATTTGCTTCACCCTTGGTGACCCTTCCCCCAACTCTGGCACTGTCATCCTAACAGCCTCCCCAAAGAAAACAGACGTGTGATAGCCCTGGTCTCCAGGACTTGTCCTGAGATGCTTTGTCCTGACGACTTCTCCTGTTATGCCCAACTAACCCCAGGGCGTTCTGCCCCCAGTCCCTCTTTTCGCTCTCACCTCGCTCCACCCTGCTGCTGGCTTATGGCGCGGCGCAGATAATTCCTCAAATTTTATCATCACTCCCGAATAGTTCACTGCTAAACTCCCACCACTATCAATTACCATATAATGTCCACACAGGGTCAGGAATGGCTGACTGACGCAAAATAAAAACACAAATGAATAAATCTACGGCTGTGAAATCTTTCCCAACTGCTCCCACTCCGCCGGCGTTGGTCCGTCGGAATGACGAGCGTAACAGCGGCGAAACGGGAGCAGCTCGGTACAGAATCTCCGTACGGGGAAGGCAATGGTTAAGATCTCGATTGGAAATGCCCGAAGATGGCGCTACAGGAACTGATACCGGCTCTTGCAGCTACACAGACGGGCGCCTGTACTCAATCTGGGTCTCCCATTTACTATAAAGGTTAATTGGAGAGCATTTGGAGCGGGGCACTGCGTGTAATTTATATGCAGCCATCCCTGTTAAACTTGTAGCTGGAACACACCTCTTAATATTAAGCAATGCGAACAAATCCGCGGAAAATAAGCAAAGCAATTGCATCGATTTCAGATTTCATTGCAATAATACAACCAGTTCAAGTGTAATGGTTTTCAAGCAGTGATTCTTTTAAAGAAAGAGACGTTTGTTAACATAAAGAAGCAGAACACTGAAATATTTAGAAATATTGGCAACACGTTTGTCCTGTTACAAAGTATTCTGCGGTGCAAGGATATTGGGGGGGGGGGGATGTTTGTAACAATTTAGAGAGGTCTATGAAACAGACTGTGGATAGGGTTTTACAATAACGCCACTTCTGCTGTTACATTTTAACAGGATTGTGGAGAATCCAGTTCGGAGTAAACACACGTCCGAAACTCCGTTCTTTCCGCACCCCCCCCCCCCCCCCCCCCCCCCCCCCGGAGACAAAGGAGGGTTTGGAAATAACCACCTGCTATCTGCAATCCTACAATACATCCTTAAAAGACAAACAAAAGACCTTAAAAATCTTAAAGAACACCATTCATTAGATCGACAAAGGGGGAAAGAAATAAATTATCATAATTAATCCTATCAGTGATGGTGGGTGGCATGATGTGCGTCCTTTAAGGTAATGTTGGACACTGGTAATATTAACATATACATATGCTTTTGTGGAGGCAGACAGTAAGCGTTTCCACAGCATTTCAGCCGCTTGGTAAACAAGCTTCAGGGGAAGGAAAAACAGTGCAGCTGCTGGCTGCAAGGAAAATAACATTTTCTGAAATCATAGACAATGCAGACATTTATGTAAAGTTATATCGCGTCTCTCTGCTTGCAAAAAAGTCTCAATGTTTCGCATCCATTCCCGTCTGATTCGAAATCTTTAACACACTTTCACTATTATTTTGCATTTGCTATTCAAGTTTTACGTTGTGCACGCTGAAGTACGTTTTGGGTAGGAAGGCTGCTCTCTTGAGCGATATGAACGTCTTAAAGGAATGTGATACACTTTCACATGTGCTTTTGAAAACAGTTTTAATTGCATTGATTGTCTCCAGCCCAATCTATTTTTCCCTCTGCACTATCATCCGTTTTATCCCTCGGGCCGATAAAAATACTCAGATCTCCCGGCTTTGTAAATAGCTGGGTGCAATTTCACTGCGCGTTCCCCTCATTCATTTTCGCTGCACTTTATTAACAGCATTAGCAATGGCAGATTTCTGGATAACGTTTGTTCAGATTTTAGTTGCCCTTGGTTTATTTATGCAGTCTCCAGAATTCTACCAGGAGACCTCCGATGTATTTGTTGGGTTAGGGGGAGGGGGGATGTGTGTGTGTGGTGGGGGGTACCTCACGAGGCAATTCACGGCGTTTTATATATACATACATACCTAATATAAATACACATACACAGACGTGTGTGGCTGTGTGTGCGTGTGTGAGAGAGAGAGAGAACGACAGTGGCTATTCCCACTACTTTCATGTTATTTTGTAAAGAGAAACTCTTTAGCAAAGTTTATTTGCAACGATGAAGATCTTTACGCGTCCCTATACCTTAACAGGATCGTGTTTAGCTGGCAGCTTTGAGTATCAGATGGGAAGCTTGTTTTCTTTTTCGGTTTTAAAAATGCAAGGGTTTTAGAAAGATCCCCACGCAGAGGTCCCCGCTACCTCCCATTGATGCTCCTGCAGCCTGGGTGGTCCGTCCACTTTGGTGAGCTGTTGCTTAGCAGCTAATAATAGTGGATGTTTGCTAAGTAATTTGCTTCTTCCTTAGCCAATGGGAATCCGGTCGAGAGGACTTTCCATCAACTCTTTTTGATGGGCTGGAGGCGGGTTTTTCTCTCCAAATGCTGGATGTGTGAGATCGGGGACAGAAGTGAAAGATTGAACTGAAAAGAAAGGGGATATTTCTCTTTTATTTTTGAAAAATTCCGCGGTGTTAGAAGGACGGAGCAAGGCGAGCGAGAGAGGGCAAGGAGATAAGAAAAAAAAACTACACGTGGATGTAGAGTCAAGATCCTCAAGGATTTCTGCGCGAAATGTTGGAATGGAAATATCAGACTTTCGCTCAGGAAGAGACTAGGGATTCGCCAGCTGGTTTTCTTGTCACTTTTGGGGGATTATTCCTGTTGTTGTTGTTGAACCGAACGATCCGCGACTGGTTTCCAGCGCCATGGCTTCAGTCTCTCATCCTCCCCGGAGCGATGGAGCTCAGCCCCCGAGGTACAGTCACCAAAGCCCGGCCGCTTGCTCGGATCTGCTGCGGAGACCCAGCTACTGCCACGCTGCTTTTGCATTGAAACAGATCTCCAAGGTGCAGAGAAACAAAAAAAAAATTCTTACTGTTAAGTTTCTCCCTTGCAAATAGGAAACATGCATTCGTTCAATAATAACGCCAGGGCTAATTCTAGTGATAACCCTTTACAGATTCAGGCACTTCCTGGGAGATTTTTTCTCTTATTTAGAAACTGCATTTGTCCCAGGGAATGATGTTTGGTTTGAAAGAATAGGGAAATGTTGTCAGATAAGTCTTCAGAAACGGCTTTCCCTCCAGAGGACGGACAGGTTTATTGACTGTTCACTTAACAAGGCAGTGCAGATGTGGGTGAGGAAGGTGCCTGGGGTTTGACTGGGGTGTGTTTATTAGAGTGTGTATGTGTGTACGTGTGAGGAAGTGCATATACAGGTGTGTGCATGTGTGTCTCCGGCTTGCCTTGTGTACAGTTGACCTAGAGGCTGCGGTGTTGCTCTTAAGTTTGTTATTGCGACTATTTGGCAGAGTGAAGAGCTGAACTTGTGAAAGCCTTGGAAGAATGTCAGCATTTTGTTTTTGATTAAACGAAGTAGAGACAGTTACTCGCGGTGTGTGTGTGGGGGGGTTTTGCTGGACGGAATGTGTCTTGCGGAGAGAGCAACTTCTCGCTGGGGGGAAAAGGAAAGGAAAGCGAGAAGCCTGAGCGTACAGGAGCTTGACAATTCTAAAGAGGGAGACACGGGTCCAGCCAATGAGCATTTGATCAGAGTTGACGGAAGGAGAAGCCGAGAGAACACAAAAGAGGAAGTATGAGAAAATGTCCTGGAGTGAAAGGCAGATTGGCAACAGCAATGAAAAGACTGACAGACAGGAGCGAGAGAGAGATGAGGGGAGGTGTGCTGGGGGGTTGGAGGAAGGAGATGGAAAACATAAGTAAAAGTTACAAAACGCAAAGGGAAAGTATGCAACGCCGAGAAATGCTGACTGCCGGGGTGCGACGTTAGCGAGGGAGAAGTGAAGAAAGGTAAATGAAGAAGTGTAGGGGAAAAGGCTGAAGGAGAGCCATGAAACCAGAGGAAATTGGAGAATTGGAAGGATGTGGAAACTGGAAACGGGAATGTAAAGGGAAACACTCAATGAAACAGAACACGGGGACAGAACAGGAGAATAACTGATACGTTATAGAAGAAAGAGGAAAAAAATGAAGCATGTAACAGACAGAAGGGGGAAATGATGTGAATTGTGTTGAATCAACTTATTTTTCTCTCCCGTGACCACTTTGTAAGTGGCACTGAGATTCATATCTTCTTTCTCTTAACAGTTTTCTTTCATTATTCATTGCTCAGATCTTTTTCTGTCCCCCTGCTATTTAATTAGAAATTAGACAGAAAGAAACTCCTTTCTTTTATTCTGTTTATGTTTATTTTATTTCCTAATCTTTTTGTTCTTTGTTTATTGCCCTTTCTGCTGTTTTTGCTCATTTTCTGTTCTCTACCCATTATCTTTGCTGTTACGTCTCTCACTTTCTCTGAACCTGACTCCCTTCTGCTTGCTCTCAATAATATTGCTCTTCCTTCCATTTCTTTAGCCGTGCTCACGTTATATTCTCTTTTCCCTCTTTCTGTGACTCTCTCCATGTCTTTGCTTTCCGTTTCAGAGTTCTTGCTTTCTTCCCAGTTTTGCCTTCCCTCCCATCTTTCTTCCCGCCTTCTCATTTACAATTCCTAAGCAAACCTTTTCCTCTCTCCCTTCACTTTATCTCCTTATTTACCTATGCTCACTTTCCCTCTCCCAATTTTTTTCTGTTTTGCTTGTCTTAAATGTCTCCTCTCCCCATCCCCACATTCTTTGCCCTTCTCTCTGCAGCCACTATCACCTTCTACTTTCTTTCTCTGCTACTGTACTTCATCTCCTCTTCCCTTCATCTGGTAAATCCTGTGGTCTGACGCAACTCTTCTCTTTGTTCCCTAGGGAAAGGCAGAGGGGCGGCGGGCTCCACTCTGGCTCCGAGCCCACTTCCAGGCACTGCTCTTCAGGTTGGGCTGCAGCATCCAGAGGCACTGTGGCAAGTTCCTGTTCATTGGGCTTTTGGTTTTTGGAGCTTTTGCTGTTGGCCTGAGGGTTGCTAGCATTGAGACCGACATTGAACAGCTTTGGGTGGAAGGTAAGACAAAGTAAAAACTGACATAGACTAAAAAGAAACAAGTATCCCAGTGCAAACAGAGCCTATGATCAATATGTCCTTGCGTACTAAGATCTGCCTGTATTGCTCGCAAACAAAGCGTTTCACTGTACTTAGATACACGTGACTAGAATAAATCAAATCAAATCAAATCAAATAGGCTGACAACATTCAGGAATTTGGAAATGAAAGCATATGCAAGTGACGCAGACTGATACTAATCAGGCTTTACTTTCATAGTTACATTTTCTATCTAGTTATCTTTACTTTTTTCAATTCTGTCATGTGTCACCTCCTTTAGACCCTAATGCACCTAAACTTGACAGTATTTGCATTGTCTTTTATCGTAAGTACACAATTTTACTTGCATATTTCCATTTGCTTCACCATCGTAGGCATTCTCCTCTAGTGTCCTTGATTGACTCCAATCTCCTTTTGCCTCTGAGATAGTAGGACCTCCGTCCTCCCTGGACTGACCTATCCCCTTCCTAACTCCCTACCTACACTCACCTTTCCTGGCCCCATCCCCGCCTCTTCGACCTGTTTGTTTCCTCTCCACCTATCCTCTCCTCTATCCCTCTTCTATCCGCCTCCCACTCTCTCCCTATTTATTTCAAAACCCCCTTCCCCTCCCCCTTTTCTGATGAAGGGTCTAGGCCCGAAACGTCAGCCTCTCTGCTCCTATGATGCTGCTTGGCCTGCTGTGTTCATCCAGCCCTGCACCTTGTTGTCTCCTTTTGCCTCTGATCAGCCTTAAACTTAATGTGCATATTGCCTCTTCTAATCATTGATTCAGAATATATCAGCAGCTGTTCCCACACTACATAGCCCTTGAAATACCTTAGCCAGCTACATTGATCACCTCGCCTCCATCCTTGAGTCAATCCCAGTTGCATAAATATGAGATAACACAGTGTGGAGCTGGAGGAACACAGCAGGCCAGGCAGCATCAGAGGAGCAGGAAAGTTGACATTTCGGGTCGGGACCCTTCTTCAGAAAGGTCTTCAGGAGGGTCCCGACCCGAAACGTCAACTTTCCTGCTCCTCTGATGCTGCCTGGCCTGCTGTGTTCCTCCAGCTCTGCACTGTGTTATCTCTGACTCCAGCATCTGCAGTTCTTACTTTCTCTGCGCAAATATGTTCTTTGCAAAACCAGTTACATTACTAAAACACATTCAGACTGATTCCTCATTTCACTGCAGATATTGCCATGACCAACTATAGTCTTTAGTTAGTGACATATATCCTTGACTGTTTATGAGAAGGTGGTAATACTTAAAGTTTTGGTGTTGTGCTGATTGAATTAAAGCAACACTTTAAGTATCTTACTTTGGTTTGATCTGTAGATGAGCCAAGAAGAACCAGCTCATGCAAAGTTTGCTTTCACGAGCAAACTGGTTTTATTGTTTCTCACATAGCAGCAGAGGATTCTTGGTATCTGTCCTACGTTGGTTCCATTTACTCTTTTCTGTTTGTGTTTAAGCAGCACTATCTAAAAATTCTGGACTGTGAACTTTTCCAGGATCTCTTCAAGGTAAAAGACCTTGATGGGAGGAAGGGAGTACATTGCTAGTCATCTAAAAATCTGAAATTGTAAATGTGCGAGGGCCCATAAAATGGCTTTTAACTGGTTTGCTGCTAAAGATTCCATCTGTTGTCATTCCCACCATTATTCCAGGTTGTGGGAATACTCCAGATGGTGTCCTTGTTGTAGCTGTGCAAGGAACAAATACAAGGCAACAAGTGACATCAAAATTGCAGGATGAACAAGCATTCAGAAATATGAAATTTTAATTCCTTACTTTGCATATTTGCATTATCTCTTCAAATTCTGTTTCTGTTAACCTTCTAACAACAAAGATACTGAACTTAGCGTCAAGCTTTTGATGGAATTTTGCTTCTCCAGCAAAGTAATTTTTGTTAAGGGGCCTTTCATATTAGGTACATGGTGTTACAAAACAGATTGCCAGATCAGAGAACAAGAAGATGACACAACAACCATGCAATCCCAATGATAATGCATTGTACATCACACTTCATGTTACTAAATTGTTATTGTTAATCTTAGCTTTAAAGAAGTTGACTTTAAAAACAGCACCAGCATGCTGGGGTATTTCAACTTGAAAGCAGTTTTTTTTAGAGATCAAATTAATCTAATAAAATGCGAGTTGAAGAAAAAGACGATTAAAATTCTGCGACTAACATTTAGCACTGATTTCTCTTGGATTACCCATAAAAGTGATTTTCCACAAGTTCCAAAGCTTGATTTTTTTTTCAGAAATAGAATTGTAGGTATTCAAAATACAAATTTTTTAAATAAAAGATTAAGTTTGCAAGTTGAAAATTAAATTGTATTTTCTAACTCAATATTTCTGAGGAAAAAATTGGATGTGTAAACACAATTACAGTCCTCAAAGGGTTAAATCTGCTTTGAAGCAGCCATGTTCATCTTGTGTAGCACTAAGCTTCCAAACTTCATTTACAATAACATAGTCATCTACTGGTAGAAATGTAACATAGCTTTAGACAGCAGTAGTGAGTGGTTTATTGCAGACTCTGCTTGTAGTCGATTCAAGTTGTAAAATGCATCTAATTTGTCTAGTTTTTTTTTAAACTGTAAAGCTACTTGTGTGTCCTTTTTCTGTCTCTCAGCTCCCGTTTCTATTTTTCCGGTCTCTCCCACACTGTGCTGTTTTTATTTTAACATTTGTATGCTAATTGCTACCTTTGACTGAGTTTTTTCTCTCTCCATGACTTTCTCCGTTCCCTTCCTGTGTGTTATGCTTCCTGATACTCCCCCACCTCTCTCTCTTTTACAGACAGTTCAGGGCCATGTGTTTAATTCAGTTTTCACACTCCACCCCTTTCTAAGGCCTGCTTTCGACTCCCACCCCCAGCCCCCGAAAGTCTTCTGCTGTTTTGCTCCCAGGAGCAGATGTGGTGTGTGAAATTTACGCCATTTTGAGCTATTGACCCTGTATAGAGTTGTGTATGTATGTATGTGTGCGCGTCTATGTGTGCGTGTGTGTGGTCCCAAACTATTCTTGGACTCCATTCAACAATAGAGGGAACCTCTCTTACGAAACCTGAATGCCATTAAAGTTTACCCACCTGTTTGCACACGAGGTTTTCACAGCAGTTGGAAAAAGAAAAAAGAGGAGACTGATGCCTCTCCTAATTCTTTCATCTAGGTTTTTTTTTAAAGTGTTTTCTTCTAGAAACAACACCACAGGGAAGAGCAGCTGTTCTTACTTTTATATCCTGAAGTGCTGCATCTTTTTCTTTCATTTAATGGGTTGTGTTTGCAAGAGCTGCACAAACTACAGTAAATACATGTTAACTCTTTGAGGAACATTGTAGATTTTGTTCTGTAAGTGAAATTAAAGTTTACGTTATTAAAAACAAATTTTCATTTTTTATGCTTTTTATGTTTCTAGTCGCTCAGAAACAAGGATGTGAGTAAAGGATTACAAAAGCAAACATGACTATTAGCTTACTGTAACAAATTAACATTTCGGGGGTTTTTCCTTCTCAATATTAATGTCTTGGAATTTTAACAACAGGAAGATTCCCTTGAACTCTTTACCGGAAAGGTGCTTACATGTTAAGATATGCCTACCCTTTCAGTTGTGTTTGGTATTGGCTTTGGTAGCTTTTTTGGTTTAAATGAGATTTGGTTGTTACAAAAATGCAGTTCTAGAAATGACAGCCGGCACTGTCAGTGGATGAAATTTGTCATGCTTATTTGTCATTTCTCTGTCTCCCACTTAATAAAAGGTTCCACCAATAACTTGTATTTATGGAGAACAAACACAAATGAGTTACCACCTTACCTGTGTTAAAATCAATGTCAAGCAACATGGTTAAACATTCAACTATTTGAAGTAATCTTAATTTTATATGAATAGAGATAGCAGTACTATCATGGAAATGAAGCAGTATTATTCTTGAAAGTGTTATTTATAAATTTTGGTTCCATGCCATTGGGCTTTTATGAAATAAGTTTGATGATATCTGTAGCTTCCCCCACCCCCTCTGCACCCACCTACATCTCTCCAGTGAGTCAAACTACCTGGTAGTTTGCCGGCAGAATATGCTATTGGTCTTCTCATTTTCTCAGTGTTTCCACCTACAGCCATCCATTATTAGAGATCACTGTGAGGGGCGGCACAGTGGCTCAGTGGTTAGCATTGCTGCCTCACAGCGCCAGGGACCCGTGTTTAATTCTAGCCTTGGGCAACTGTCTGTGTGGAGTTTGCACATTCTCCCTGTGTCTGCGTGGGTTTCCTCTGGGTGCTCCGGTTTCCTCCCACAGTCCAAAGATGTGCAGGGTAGGTGGATTGGCCATGCTAAATTGCCCATAGTGCCCAGGGATTTTTGGCTTAGACATGGGAAATCAGAGGTAGGGGGATGGGTCTGGGTGGGATGCTCTTCAGAGGGGCAGTGTGGACTTGTTGGGCTGAATGGCCTGTTTCCACACTGTAGGGATTTTATGATTTCCATGAAAACTTGGTCTTGGTCTGACCTGCAACATGTTTCATTTTTTGTGTACATGTGTATTCGTGCATATTTACAAACAGTTGTGACTTCCAATCAAGTTACTTTTTAAAGAACTACATCAGCTTAAATGCTTCAGGACACAAAAAACAACCTTATAACTTATTGAATCTATAATTTTTTCATATTTCCAAAGATTCTGCAGAAAAGATAAATTGCTTTGCACTGACTTATAATGCAGCAGCTGATTTATTTGAGATGTATATTTTAAAGCAAAAAACATAATGAGACTTGTTTGTATTCAAGTCAATGATGTATAGAATATAGATGGCTGTGAAAGGGATGTTTCTGTTAACGTGAGTAGATGGCCTTTATAGGAGATAACTAAAGGTAAAGTCACTATAGTCCTGGCAGACCACAGGGTTGCTCTCTCATTAAAGAGAGAGAGAGACTGGGACAACTGGTGGTGGTTTAACCTGAGGGTCA